AGAATTTCTGCTGAAGGCTCGGGAGATGTGAATGACTTGCCACAAGTGTACAAAGCTCTTGGAGAGTAATTAGACACGTTCGGCATTTGGGAAGGGACTTTTACATTATATCTATCAATAAATAAGTGTGGAATACACCATCCTTGGGAGGAGACTGTTTCCATGCTCAGAAACCTATTCCTGGGCGCTGTGACCTGCGCCCCAGGTTTTATTACAGAAAATTGAATGTTATCAAAAAAAATATATAAAATATGACACATATAACAGTGTTACTTACAGTTATTATTATAGAATTGAATTATGGACTACCTAGAAAGATGATATGGGGTCTGGGCAAGGAACAGTCAATTACCATCTAGATAAAGCAAATCCAATGACAAATATAAGCATTAGAAAATGGCGAATACAAGCTTTAGAAAATTTTAAAATGCAGAAAAAGAGAAAACAACATAGCAAAGGGAAGGCATGGAGTCTTGTCATGGCATATGATATGCTCTTGTACATCTGACCTACCAGCTGCACTGTCAGCAGAGTGGCCACTCAAGTAAGCCTAATGCCTGTATTTTGGGCCACACGATGGCAATGAAGCATCCAGATCCAATGGCTTAATAAAATGAGCTCATAGTATGTACATACAATCCTATGGAATTGGGTTGGGACCAAAATAAAAACACAGTAAGGTGTGTCCCTCTAAAGACATGAAGCACAGTAACAATGAAAACAGAATAATTAATCATAGTATTTCATATCTAGATGAAAGAGAAAAAAATCATGTTTATGAAGGATAAGATTAATTTAGAGTTTGAATTTGTTTCACGTAAACATCCAGCCATGAGTCTGGTTACAGTTAATATGGTTTCAGTTACATTAGGCTTTAGTTAAAAATGTATGTGGTACAGGATTGTTACCCTCTGCCATAGCTCTGAAGCAGTGACAACTATAGCAATTGCGATAATTGGCCTTGCACAGATGTGGTTCAAAAAGATAATTTTCTAGATAGTGTCCACATCTAGACCCTGTAGAAGGGAGGGTATGATCGGAGGGCTGAATGAAGCAGCATGTATACATTCATGTCACTGCGCCCACTAAAACCACCTTTATGGGAGGCAGACAAGCATCCAGAGTCACTGCTGAAATTAACCCTACACTCTCGGTACCGGAATATGTGGTGTAACTCATTCCGGTGATTTCTGGCAACCATCTTGCCTTTTGCCATGAGAGTCCACTACATATAGCACACCTTCCCACTCGACAGGTTGGGATGCCTATAGCTTTACCCATCATGATGAGTTGTTTTTTCATGACGGCTATAGGAGTGCCTGATTATCAAAGGTTAAGGGAGTTTTTGAAAATTCGGTCAACATGTAGTATAAGGTAGTGGCAGAGTTGGGTAATAAATCCTAAATGAAATGAAAGAACAATACAAACCAAAACTAAGTTCTTCTATGGCAATATGTGTACAAATGCTTCCAAAAGGTGCTATACGTAAAAGAAAAGAGAACCCCCCCCCCCGGTCAATATGTAGAACAGGGTAGTGGGTAACTTTCAAAACAATTTTGATATTTTTCTGCAAGAAATCCACTGCTTTCAACAATTCTAGGCATTGTTTCTTGTGCAAATGAATCGTTGAGGAGATATGATCACCATTTCCATCGACAATCTTGATTTGATAGCCCTGATAGCAGGGGAGGGCATGAAGTATATCAGGGAAATTATGGGGTAAAACAGGACCCCCATGGTTGTTCTATCATTTCATATAGGTTTTATTACCCAACTCTGCCACTACCTTATTCTATATATTGTCCGAAAATTCATATTGTGTTTGTTTATTAATTCTGCCGACTATTTCTGTTGGTGTGGTCAATAAGAAGATATTCATGCATTTGGGTATTACTACATGCATGATGTTTGCAAATTATAATATTCAAATGAGCTGCTTATTATATATCAATGGTAAAGGCAAAAAAATGTAGGTCCTAATAGCAAAATATATCATGCTACCTGATTGGTTTTTTTTTTTGTTTATTGAGAAACAAATGGGGAGGAGGGAGGGAGAAAGAGGATGAGAAATGGAAACAGAGAGCGAGCAAGAGGGTAGAAGTAGAAGTAGAGAGAGAGAGGGGGGGAGGGGAGGGAAAGAATGAGGGAGTAAGAGAGGGAGTAAGAGAGGGAGAGAGAGAGAGGAGGGGGAGGGAGAGGGGGAGGGAGAGGTAGAAAGACAAAGAGAGAGACAGACAGCAAGAGAGAGAGAGCGAGAGAGAGAGCGAGAGAGAGAGCGAGAGAGAGAGCGAGAGAGAGAGCGAGAGAGAGAGCGAGAGAGAGAGAGAGAGAGAGAGAGAGAGAGAGAGAGAGAGAGAGAGAGAGAGAGAGAGAGAGAGAGAGAGAGAGAGAGAGAGAGAAAGAGAGAGAGAAAGAGAGAGAGAAAGAGAGAGAAAGAGAGAGAGAGACAGAGAAATATATAAAATCCCATCACTCATTTCCCTCCACATACACAGACCTC